TTGTGGTAATAGGGGTTTTCACCACATTAACCAGTTCGTCAATGAAGTATGGTAATAGGCGTTGCACCATTCATTAACCGGTTCGTCGGTGAAGAGATAGCGAGGCTGGCCAAACATGATTGCGACCCATATATTAGAATGAATACCGATGACCCTAACAACTAAATATTTCATGCAGATCATGGTATAAATTTCACAGAGGTGTCACTCCGACTTCCCAACAGTGCCAATGTTAAAAAAAAATCATCTGAGCTGACTCAAGAATCTCTTTGGCAGTGCAAGTTAGATTTGGGTACTCTTCTGTTTTTTTTTTTCTTTTTTTTTTTTTTCTTATTTCTTTTTTTTACCCTTTTTTTGTTTTGTTTTCTTTTTTTATCACTTGAAAGAAATTGTAAAGCATGGTTTCTCTTAATCTTGTTTTTCTTGTTTTTTAGCAATAATCCGTATCCAACTATGAGTTTGATTGATTTGACCTTGACTAATCCCTCTTAGCCTTTAAAAACTTATTCTTTCTATCAAGTTATCCGTTATACTTTTTGTTATTACAAAAATACTTGAAACTTTCTGTTATTACATAGATATCCGTTTTTTCAACTTTATAACATTTTTTTAAAAAAAAAAGACGAAACTATCCATTTTCGATTTTTGAAAAACCGAAATTTTTTTCAATATCAATATAATGAATGCCTAAATATTTAAACTTGCAGTTGAATTGGCTTTTTGGTTATCATGCATGCCTCTACACTATCACATCAAGGTGTTCGAGTCCCCCCATGTGCAATCTAATTTTTTTAATTAAAATAGATGTTTTTTATTTTATTAAAAAGCCCAAAAAAGAAAAAAGCCCATCACGGAATGGGCATGGCTTTTCAGTTATCATGCATGTTTCTACGCTTTCACATTAATGGTTCAAGTCACTCCATATGCAATCTAATTTTTTCAATAAAAAATAGATGCTTTTTATTTTATTAAAAAGTTTTTAAAAAAAAAAAATTAAATAGGAAGGATTTTGATGACAAAACCTCTTTGAGAAAATCATAAGATTTTACCAATATACTATTTGAATAATAGTGATAAAAATAGGTATCGTATTGTATATAGGGTAAGCTTTATATGCTTCCCCTACAGCATAGAAGTTCTATCATCCCCTTTATCCAACCGTCCATTTTGAATAGAGGGTTAAGATTGTCCTAATCACAATGTCATGCCTCTACACTTTATTTTTTTTTTTTTTTTTTTTTTTTAATTTTATAAACTAATTTTGACACCAAAATTT